CCCGGCGCTCGACTAGAGTATGAGAGACGGAGAACAGACACGAGACTCTACGCGTGACGAGCATATTTTGACGGCGTTGAGGAGCATATGCACAATTTGCATAACTACGGAGGTATTACGAGCATGTACGCTTGTTAACGATGTATTAGTAGCGGTGAATTAACATAATGATTTCAAAATCCACCGCGCACATCTCGACGGCAATCGCCGGGAATCCAGCCCAGGGGTGTAAGAGCTGCCCAGGCGGCAACTCGTATCCAAGTTCCAGAGCGTTTGCTGTCTCAGCAGAGTGGACTTTGGAGACTTGAGCGAACGCCGGGTGGGGCAGAGTTCGTGTATCGGTGGCTTGGCAGATAGTAGACATGGAAGACGTTCATGCCTTGCCCTCTCAACCAAACATCCGGTCCATACTTATGCCACGTACTTCGGTCCTTTCCTAATCGCGAAACTGCGAACACCGTCTAGCGATGTTGGCGATGGCGACTGCTATATGACAAACGCGCTATTACGCATGACCAGTGACTATGCTGACGACGTCGATTCAGCCGGAGCGATGCTAGCAACCTGTTTACACAAAGTTCAAAGCATCCTAGCAAAACGGTTACTGCGTGCTTCAGTATGGCCTCTAGTCTGGTAGCGATATTGAAGTTGCGGCCAATCGGGTGCATCTGCTTCCCTATTCAGCTACGGTGCTCAACCTCTTTGAGGCCACGTGAACCGAGCGCCCGGAGTATTATCAGCCTTCAAGGTTGCGTCACACGGCAGTGCGGTGTGAACGGTTGCAGCTCAAGAAGCGGAGAAGTTCGTTTTGAACGGTCGCGAGAATAGCCGAGATGAGCCCTGAAAGGGGGGCAGGGCGGAGCGTGAGACATTGGGCAAACCTTCTCGTCTAACACGAGAGCGAGCATAAAGCACAACAACGGGCAACCCAGCTGTACAAGTTCCTCGGTTTTGTCGCGTCCTTCCCGGCATTCATTTACGCGACCTTGCGAGCAGATGTCGCGATTGCCGAATTGCGGGGAGCGATACAACGTTGCGTGCAGAGTGTGGGGAAAATGCACCACGAGGCAATGACAGGGGCAATCTATAAGGCCAGACAATGCAAGTCAAGGCATCGGGTAGGTTGACAGCGTGTGGGAACTGTGACAGCGGCTCTCTGACCTCTCAGATGCCACTACCCCGGGTACCGTTTCAGTACCCAAGCTCCGCCCACCCCTGCACGGTGCACAGCATGATGGTTCTCGGCCTCGAGTATCGAAAACAGTTTAATCTCTCCTTGCAGCCGGACTAAAGAAGGGACCCCTCTTTTTCAGTATCCTTCAAATACAATTTCCTGGCACTGCGCGCGGATCACTCTGGCTAACAAACCATGCCATTCGGTTTCTACTTCGACTTCAGATCACTCATTCCGCAATGATGCCGCAACATCTCCGCAATATCGCCCTTGCCGTCGAGCTCTTCGCGGTCTTTGCACGATGCGCACATCTCAACTATACTGGAGAGGCCGTCACATCTCGTTTCTGGGACTGCTGTAAGCCATCATGTGGTTGGAACGGCAAAGCAGATTTCTCGAGTCCGGTAGAATCGTGTACGGCCGACGACAAGCCCACGGACGATGCTGCCGGCACTGGTTGTAACGGCGGTTCCGCGTTTCAGTGCTCCAGCCAGCAGCCATGGGCCATCAACGACACTGTTTCATATGGCTATGCCGGTGCCTTTATTCTACCCGAACTTACTCACGGAGGTATAGAGGGCGCCTGGTGCTGCGCATGCTACCAGCTCGACTTTACGAGTGAGCCTCTGATCGGCAAGAGCATGATTGTTCAAGCCTCGAATACCGCCTACGATGTGACCGACCGAAACCGGTTTTCACTAGCAGTAAGCCTTCAATAAACGTTCATCATCATAATAGCAAAGCTTAACTATCTAGATTCCTGGCGGTAACACAACATCGACAAATGCATGCGCCCAGCAGTATGGCGTAGACCAAAGCGTCTTCGGTGAGCTCATGATGGGTGTCAGCTCCACCGAAGACTGCCAAAAGCTACCCGAGAACCTGAGAGCTGGTTGCGAATGGCGCTTTGATTGGTTCAAGGATGCATCGTACCCTAGGTAAACATGCCCTCATCTCGATCCGCAGGCTACACAAATTATATGGACTAACGTCACACAGTGCGAACTTCAAACGCGTAGTCTGTCCCGCGGAAATTACAGCCAAGACAAACTGCATCCGTAATGACGACAAAGTGCTGGCTGGCGAGGCTTCCGCCGCCCAGAGCCTCATGTCTGGCTCCCCTACTATGGCCTTCTTCGCCGCTGGCATACTAGCTTTAATATCGATATAGTATCGGTGACGCCGATGCCGTGCGTCACCCTTCGCTTTTGGCAGCCCTCTTTCACGATCGTCACGTTCTTTTCTCATTTCTCTTGTGTCCGCTCATCTTTGGATGCTGGTTGGCAAGCCTTGTCAGATGGTGGTTGTTTGTCATGCATGGATACCCTATCAATAAAATATTCGCATCAAAATGGATTGCATGTTGCGCCACGAGCGGCGCGACAATCTCTTCATAACGTCTTCAGTGCCGGAATTGCCGGTGATGCTACTACGACTGTACCGTCTTTCTTCTCCTTACCTCTTCTTGGGTCCAGAAGGAGTCAACCTGTATGCTAGCAAGACGAAGAAAGGTTCAGGGGCGTTCATTGCAACGCTGTACGGCAAAACATTTACGCCTTCAATGACAAGCCACTCTACACTCGCTCAAGAACCCCACATTGTGGCGTGAACTCAACAGGAAGAAATCATGAGACATGGCTGGTGGTGCAATGAAGCAGCTAGAATGGTTGGTGGAAACCGAAAAGTCCAAGGCATTAAACGTCCTTAAAGAAGTCAAGAGACCACTCACAGCACCCGATCTAGCCAATATTCAAAAGCCATCCTATCACGAGCGCACGCCATACCGCCACACCCAGATCCCCTTCGTCCCCAAACGCTCATCATAAACCCCACAGTGCACCTCCCAGATACGCCCTTACCTCAAGAAACACAGATGAGTAAGAACCCGCCTTCCCACCCTCACCTACCGATCACCACATCCTCCAAACCCTGCATATCCATTTAGGCAAATGACATCCGAACAAGATCTTTCCCGCCCATTCTTGAAAATCACATCACACGTACTTACCCCCGCCAGCCGGCGATGCGCGAGCGACCGCTTCGCTCCGCACCGAAGAGGGGAGATTATCCATATTGAGCCGGGCGGGCGCTAACGAAAATCTGATATATTACATGGATATGGCTGGACTGGACTAATAGGGTGTACTAATGCTGGGCGGGTGGGCAAATGTCACGAGTTACGGAGGAGATGGAGGAGCATGCTGGATGGAGGGATGGGGAAAAGGAAATAGGGCGATGAAGGGGTGGGGTTTTGCCACTCATAGGGCAAGGGGATGGCTGGTCTGGATGGTAGGTGTAGACGAGGAGGTTTGTGTGTGGTGCGAGGGTGAAGTATAGGGTGCGCGTGAGGGAGGTGCGAGGAGGACGTTGACTGGAGGATACAAACACCTACCTTTCGTGCCTTCCTACCCCTCGCTTACGCGCAGCAAGATCCTTTCCGTCGCGTGCATCATCGCACAACACAACGCGTGAAATGAGAGTACGCGCTTGCTGAGAGATTTCGCCCAGGCACTCAACTCTTGTTTTTCTTCTTTCTCCGCCCAAGGCCTCGGCGATGCCCCAGTTGTGGATTCCGTGCCTCGATGGGGGTGGAGGTGCGTAATAGCTTTGCCAGTCGGACGACAGTTGCTGCTTCAAGTAAGGTTTCCGCGCGATCTGGGTAATGAGGAATAAGCAACGAGAAACCGAATGCGCTTCCCGCCGTTGCGAAGGCGAGGGGATGGTGGGACTAAAACTCTAGATTGGACCCGCGAATCCTGTGTAACGGAGATTGGGATGCGGGAATTGGGTCTGGGGTCGTTGGAGTCTGGATTGCCTTGGCTGTAGGGTATCTGGGTATGTGAAGGAGACGACCTTGTTGTATAGGCCTGGGATCAAGAATCTCACGGTGCAGCACATTCCACGAATACATTCATCACGTAGACAAGAAGCGCGAAAACCGATTGCAATCCATCGCAACGCACTCAAGCCATCCATCCATCCCAGTCAACCCCGCCACCCGCGATCACCTTCCACCCCTCGCCCACGTCGCAACACACGACACGACACGAGACACGCTGACGCACAGACAGCATGATCAGCAACTCGATCACCCCTGCGGCAAAGGAACGGCTCGGATTGCGTCTTGACAAGGAAAGTGCCACACCGTGACGGGTTGGACGGTTATACCCCAGATCCATCGCTCGCAATGCGCACCCCTGCGGACAAACGGGCCTGAGCGCCGCCGTGGTGTGGTTGGATGCTGGGGGCTGGCTAACGTAACTTTACTGAAATTGGAGACAACGGAAACCCGCCACTCGGATAGGGCGTACGGGACTTGAGTGTGCGTCAAGGTAGGTACGTACCAGATGTGTGACTGCCGACATGAAGGGGTCTGGGGTTGGGTCGAGGAGGGTGAGAGTTTTTCGGGTCGTTGTTTGGGCGGGTTGGGTTTGTGGTGTCTTGCAGTTTTGCAAGATTGTTGATGAGAATGTGTAGCTGAGTTTCGAACCTGAGCACGGCGAAACGTTACAGATATCAAGATTCATCGTATATTGTTCATTCGCTATGGTATCATAATGCTCTCGGGTATGGGTATATCTCATCATCAACCTCATCATCTTCAATCCCCCGCAACCTCGCCGGCGTCAACGGCGCAATGGGGCACAATGTCTGCGTAGAGAACCTCGCTGTGGGGCTCAGCGTTGGGCTGTCCATGCTTTTCCACTCCGTATACGCATCTTTACTCTCCACGAGCGTTGGCGCAGAACCCAAACTACCCACACTCCTAACCGTCTCTAATATGTCACCCTTCTCGCAGGAGTCGGCCGTGCTATACCGATCCAAGCTATTCCTTCGCGATCGAGGAAAGTAACTTCGTTTCTGGTAACGCTGTTCGCCTGTGGTGCAGATTCGAGGTGGGAAATCTGGCCGGCAGTCCACCTTACTGCTGAGGTCGCCTTTGGAGCGCGAGGCCAGGCTGCTGGAAAAATCATCCTGGATGCAGGGGAGGATCTTCTGTACCACGCGGTTCTTTCTTGTGTAGCGGCTGAAGTCTGAAGCGTCCGACTTTCTCGGTTGTTGTTGTTGTTGCTGTTGCTGTTGCCAATCACCACGAAACTCGCGATCAATGGGCGTCGCTTTGGTGCGGAAGTTGAAGATCCATCGTGTGACGAGGCCGCGTAGGATCGGTATGTTGGCTACGATGATTGCTACGTTGTTCTCAATGTGGTTGATGCAGTAGTCGATCGGGTAGGTCCAATCGGGGTTGAACAGAGTGTAGAGGCGGTCGCGATACGATAAGTAGATCTTTGCCGCGCCGATGGCAGTAACACTGTGGAGAGGTCAGCTATTATCCTCGCATACTAGGTCAGTGTGACTTACGCGAGACTGCATGTAAACACCACCAATACCACCAAACGGGACCTCAACCGAGCACTCATCATCCTTCGCACGATGATGAAAGGTATCGGGAGGATCAGAACATCGGTGAGTAGATTGGCGCATGTGACCCAGATCAACATTTCTCCCATTTTGTGTCTGCCCATGCAATGCAGGTTGCCGAAAGTCCTCGGCTTCCAAGTGTTTCCAGTTAGAGGTGGACAGATGAAGATGTACAAGAACCATGGTATCAATGCGCTTCCAACAGTGAAGACCAAGATGGCATAGAGCACTCGCTTGAGCCATTCAATAACGGAACCGGCCCGAAGGAGGAGAAGGATGATCGATGCTTTGACGAGCGGTAGTATGGGGATGTTCAAGAGGTTGAACGCCATGACAACCTGCTGCTATTAGTTCTCTCGCTGTAGCATGGTGGGACTAAACATACGGCATAGTACTCGTCATAGTTTGGTTCTATCTCGTTCGGCGGCACCTCCCAGATATGCACGCCAACATGCCACATCTTGACATCTGTTCAGGGTCAGTAAGAGCCAGTGTCGGCGCTTACATCAGTACGTACGTCGGTGAGAAGGCCCTATGAGGGCTATGGAAAGCAGTAACGGAAGTATGATAAGCCAGTCATCTGTACAAGTACGTCAGTACGGTTTGCGCAAGTGATGTTGAACGCCATACCCCAGCTTAACCGTAAGTTCAGCTTCCGCCGTGTGTATATCCGCAGAATAACGAATATCGAAGCCAAGAGGGGAGTGCCGTAGATCACCCCCAGGCAGGTGAGTTGAAGAGGATAGGTAGGCATCTCGACGACCTACTCTCAGAAACCTGAAGAAATCGCGAAAACCACATCTCGCCCTGCTGGTGGGTGGGCTTCCTCATATAAACCCGGAACAAGGTCAAGGGCTGCGAAACCCTTGTCCCCTTACGCGCGCCCAAGGCAGGCACAGCCGGGTGTCTCCCAAGACGTCCCCCGCAATTTGCTACTTACTGCATATTAACACTTACAGAAACAAGTTAAGCAGAGGCCCTTCTATTTGCCAAACGGTCTAGTCTCCCGTCGGTCGCCCTCACGTGGATGTGCTTGCTGGCTGCACTTTACACATGCCACTCAAAAGGCTTGTCATCGCTATAGAAGCCGGTCGTACTCCATGGTGCGACGGTCTGGATATCGCACTTGCCGCCTCTCAATTAATTCTCTTACACGAACAGCGCACTACATGAGAGATGGCTGGCTTCCAACATCTCGGAGACTGTGCAGCCGAACACGTCCAACGGGGCCTGTTGCGCGGTCCGGTTCGTGGCTGTCAGAGACATGAGAAGCGGGTGTTGTGTGCAGGCGCCAATTGTTCTTTCGCAAGTGGGCATCCGCCAGCGCTAGTACGGAGGACTTGGTGTAACGTATTCATCCTGGAACCTGGACCGATCACAGCGTGTCTAGTAACCGATCCCTGTCGCAGCGAATCTGGGGCCGCCGCTTAAAGGGCAAGACCCAATGGAGAGCGTTAGATATAGTGAATGCGAAGCAGCGGACAGCACGACTGTGGGGATGTCTGCAAGCGAAAGAATCGAATACGGCGACGGCGCAATTCTGACAATATCATCTCGGAGGTAAAGGCTGCGTGGTGGAGCAGTCTGCGTGAATGCGTGGAGATTGTAGGAGCTCAAGCGTGTTCAACAGGTATCACGTTCCGGGGATGTTTCGAGAACAATGGCTTTGGGTAACGCGCCCTCGATGCGACGGCGGAGGTCACTCGGCCCAAGACCGTTTCAGAGGGTCACACTGACGTTCCGCCCTGTGCTCACTTGGGATCGTCATACTGTATCCTTCATTTAATAGCATTGCGACAGCGGAAGTCGGACGAACAAGATCAGACGGGAAACTGCCGGCGATCTGTGCGCTCGTATATTGGGCTACCTACAAGAAGCCTGCTCGGATGAGGTCATCGGCGGGCGGAATAGCTTGATGGGCGCACTGTATCGCATCCAGAAGTGCAACGGCCTGAGGTTTGCATCTGGTAGTAGGTCAGACCGAGGTCGTTCGCCTGCGCGTAAAGAGAAGGTGCCAATGACGCGTGAAACCACATCACCGTCATGTGTGAACAGTCAATCTCGCAGATACGCAAACAAGCAAAAATATAAAAAGATAAGAGTGTGGAGCGGAGCTCGAAGATTGCGTAGCAACGTAGAAGGTTGGAGCTTCAAAATTCTTTTAAGGTTAGCCCAACGTTGGCCGCCGAAACGCACGATGTCGCATACACGCATTCCGAGATGTGGGATTTCCTTTTGACGCAGTTCATCGGTTTTCTCTTTTCCCCGGAGATGCATAAAATCGATCTGTTCAGCACGAATTAGAGACTCCACTATACGCTGCGCAGCGAGAAAGGGCAAGCGTAACTTCTAAGAATTTTGCACTGCTAGAAAGACGTACAAGTGAGCTTGTGGTGACTCAACCGTCCAGAACCATTGCCTTGATAAGCAGATATATTACAATCGTGGCTATGTGTCGGAGCAGCGCGAAGGTCTAGGGTCCGCGTGGCAGCTTCAAATGGCCCGAATACCAGTACCAGGAAATGTTGAGCGCGACCCAGACTGGACGGTAGCATGCAAGCATATAGCCTTCGGCGTTACCAAGAGCTCGTCGTGGGTCAACTCTATACCAGAGGCATGGTCCAGTTTCGCATCTCCCGTCGTCAAGCAGGCTTCCTCCCCGATGCGAATGACGCGATCATGTACAGCACTCCAGTGCCCATACCAACACCAGCTCCTCCCAGCATGGCACTCCCAACAGTTATCGGCACCCGGCCGCTCCGTGCAGCGATCAGAGCCCCAGCAGCACCGGTCCCAGCCGCGCCAAGTGTGACCCAATCTGTTTTCACTTCGCCATGATTCTCCAGTATCCGCCATGACCTATCTTTCCACTCTATTTCCTCTCGGCCTCTCATGCGGCCCCATGTCATGATCGCGCCAGCTGCTGTTCCTAGAACGAGGCCGCGACCGGCAGTCTTGAGCGTACGAGATAGGATTGTAGCGTAATCGATCGGGGAATTACGGTATCGTGCTGCGATGATAGAGGCTGGAAACTGGAGGATTGAAAAGAAGGAAAATGACATGGCTGAAGCGCGCATGACATGCAGGTATAGGATACTGCGCGCATACGGCTGGTCTTCGGCGTAAGGAGGATGTGGGAACAAGGACGTCATCTCGAACGTTTGGCGCGCGATTCGTAGGTGGTTCGAATTCGAGGGCGGAATGTGGTTACGTGAATCGGACTGGGGATGATTTCGGTCGAGGTTTGGTTCGATCGTGTATTGGCGTTGTTTCTGGGTGTATCGAAGTGTAGGCGAGTTTTGACGAGCTACAGGTAAGTATCGAACCTCTTGGGGGGAAATAGTTCATCATATGTTCGCAGCGAGAGGGGTTGCCTGAGAGCATGCGCGCATGCTTCTCGTCCGTATGCCCCGATGAGGCCCTACAGTCGGAGAGAACATGATGCCGGTTGCGAGTGTCGGCCGCAAGTAATGCGACAGCCTTGTGTATCTTTACAATATGCCTGCCTTAGGTCCAGGCCACAACGGTGTTCTGCCAATGATATTCGAACAAGCCTCTGAGCTCGCGTTCCGTGGCTTGCGGCCTGCTCAGGCGTCCCGTGCGTCTGGATTTAGGAGCACTCGGCCACCGAGCTCGTCGCAGCTTCTCTGAAAAGGCCTTCTCGAGGTCCTGTGCATTGGTCCTACTTGCGCGGAATGTCATCGCAAGAAGCTGAACTTTGGAAAATTTTCCGGGTGTCATGCGTCGAGATGGGACTGCCAGCTGCTGTCAGGACAACAAGGAGATCCATGGTCGCGCCAGTCGATGGCGATCATGTTTGGAACGCCCGTCATCTCTGATGCAGATGCCCAGGACGGTACTATGCCAATGAGGAGTTCGTGATACTTCCCCGGACAACGCCTGTGGCTGCCGCGTCCGCGGCTGGTACTTGCGCGACATAATGCGGAGAGGGCGACACTGGACAACGCGAACGCCATCTGACACGGGCCGAGTCGCGATCATGCTTGGGATCACGAGATGGAGGTTGGCGGTTGCACGATGCAGGATTTCGAGCGTGCACCGCGCGTCTGCTGCTGCGAAGCCCCATGACGTCACAGAACCCGAGGATCATATATGCACCATCGCAGCACAGACGCTACAGGCTATCACCAAAGCTCACTACCACTTAGCCGGCATCCAACAAACTTTACTATCTTCGGGAACTCGGATCGCGACCACCCTGAAACAAACAAACAATCCACCAACCTCCAAGGCCAATCGTCAACATGCCCATCGGCCAGCAGGAAAGCGGTGTAACTTCTGGCGTCAAGTTTGTCACGTCCACTGTAGGCAATACGGTTGGCGGCGTTACAAACACTCTAGGAGGGGTTGTTGGCGCGGTTGGACGAGGCTTAGGGGAAACGGTAGATTAATCTGTACTAACTACAAATGAAGATATACTGACTCTGAGCGCCTTTGCTTAGGTCGAGGGCGCCACAGGCAGTGCCGGTCGGCCGGTTGCACGAGGCCTTGCCGATGTATCCACGAGCATTGAGAAAGGTGCAAACGATGTAGCAGGAGGCGTCAAACGTGCTGGGGAGGGCAAATAGATCTCGATAAGGTTCGACAAGAGTTGGACTTGTCAGTGAAGACTGGGGCTTATACCACATTCTCCACAGCCTACATCCTGGCGTATAGCGGGGGACGGACAAGACCACACACAGCCACCAAATGCTATCAGCATGGGATGTCGCCAAGTCCATAGGTACATATCTCGTATGTAATGTACCTCTGACGCCAGTGTCCCATACTAACTTGAGTTGGCTTCTTAGGCATTGTGATCAGATGTGTGTCCAAGACGCGATGCCGGAGCAGTGCGCCGAAGAGATCTCCGCTCATATTATGCAACGCCTATGTGAAGCTTGCACTTTTGTGATCCTCGAAAGATACCGCGGCCGAGTAGCCCGAGTCTTCTCCACCGGATGCCGATGGTTCCGGATATCTCATGCCGAAGCAACCTTTACCTAGGTCCAGGTACATGAGCATCCCACGCCTGGCATACCCATGGCGCAGCTAGCTACTGTCCGGCGGACTTCGTTGGTTCTGTCTCGGAGTACCAGTCCAAAGGACACCGAAGGGAAGTAGAGAAGGACCCTGCGGGGACTAAATTGTCGGTAGGCGCGCCACTGTCCCATGGATCAGCGTGGAGGGTCCATCCATCGTGAGATCGTGATCGCCGAGGCCGAACAACCTCACCAACTCAGACCCTTTCGGCTCGGCTCCCTGTCATACGCTGGCCGCGGTGTTGGATGTACATATGCGTGTCTAGGAAAGGCAGGCGCCGTGCGGGGTCAGATGATCAAACCTACTTTCGTCACTCGCGGAAAGCCTCACCGTGTCACTGACCGCACGAGAAGCTGCAATGGGAATGACTACTGATGGTTAGCTGTCGAGTACGTGCAGCTGCTTAGCGCCACGATTGCGGGATAAATCAGCACAGAGGGTGGAGGACGACTCAAGTGTGTGACGTCAATGGTACGTCTGACATATGCGCATCTCATGTCAGATATGTCTACCATTGCAATATTTGCAACTTCACATCGTAGCCAAGGGTAGTGGTATAGTTTCCAAATGCCATGTTTCCATCGCACAAAATCCCACGAATGCAACCAGTCTTACCCAACAATCTAAGCGTTCTCTAGGGTTGACCAGCCGACGGAGGCAAATGCGCCAGCCTGCAGCCAGCCAGCCAGCGAGCAATAAGCGGCATACTATCGATATGCGCCCGCAAGGCCAGCATGCCAGCCTCCCCAGCCCGTCCTAAGCGTTCCCAAGCAACGGTTCCACTGGAGAAGGTGGGTTGGGGCGGCTGAAGACACTTGCGAAGGCGAAAGCCACATGTACCCCACAAGCGTTGCGCTAGCGCACGTAAGCGTCGTTCCGAATTGGGAACCGATCTTTGACATCAATTGGGGCATTCGTCTCTTTGACACCAATCCCATCCGTCGTCATCCTTGCATTTTGCCTTCCAATAGTCCGATTGAGCGAGCTACATTTTCACCATACACCACCCTGCAGATCTGCCTGCATGTCGGCCAATGAGACGCGCCCAACTGATGAATAACGACGCCCCGCCACACTCCACATCGAGGCCTACAGAACGCACGTATATTGCTCTAAGGAAGACGCTAGGATGCTGCACGGAGCGATCGTCCTAAACCCGCAGTTACGAGACTTCGGTTGAGCAGCTGTCTTAGAGGTTGCATACCACGGATACCGAGCTCAACACGTCGAGATTTGCATTAGGCAGCATGTCACCGGTCAATTGACGGGCAGAATACATGGACCAGAAGGCTGAAACCATTGCGTCAGAGTAGCCAATGCAATGGCAGCAATCGAGTTCAAAGTTACTCACGGGCTGGGATTGAGATAAGTTTAGACGAGAGGCGGGACGGGCTTTGTTCACGCGCATTCTCAGTGAAATGGTGGGGAACTAACTGAGGGGTCGGATGAATGGGCATCCAATGATGTAGCAGAATTCTCCGCGGTGTTTATCGTTACGGCACGCGCGACCTCTATCCAGCCTCTTTCTCCAGCCGTCAGAAGCGTCGACGCTAGGCGGTTGTAGCTTTGCATTGACGCGTGGAGTTGATCCATGGCCTTGGCTCAAGCGCTGAGGCTTCAGTGCATGTCCGATCTGCGATGATATGCTCGATGAGGTAGATTGAATAGACTAACTACTCGCCTGGGTCTTGAGTATATAGCTGTCTTACCTTCCCGCGTTTCTTACCTACCCAGAACATCTCACACTCTCGTTGTCGTGGTTACCAGCATCGTCGACAGTTTTCCAATCGTATATCAAGTGACTGATACCTCGCTCCTCAGTCTACTTCGTCGCTACTTACGCTCGCTGTCAAGTACGCCCTATACATTAATATCAACCACCAACCGACTATCCGAAAATGAAGTCCTTCGTCGCTGCCGGCCTCGCGGCTGCCGTTGCTGCCTACCCCCAGGCCTCCTCCGACGCTGAGTGTGCGTCCTCTGCCCCGGGCACTTTCGCCATCACCACCGTCAATGCCACCACCACTCCCTCCAGGATGGTCAGGCGCCAGCTCGATGGTACTCTTCAGCTGTCTCTCGAGGATGGCAAGTTGACCGACCAGGCTGGTCGCACCGGTTACATCGCCGCCAACTACCAGTACGTCTCCTACAATACTCTGACATACTCAGTCAGTACTAACATACTATCAGATTCCAGTTCGACCAACCCGTACAGGAGGGTGCTCGCGAGACTGAAGGTTTCGGTCTCTGCAGCAACGGCTCCATGTCCTTGATGGGCTCCGCTGTCTTCTACCAGTGCTTGTCTGGAGACTTCTACAACCTGTACAGCCAGTCGACTGGTGCTCAGTGCATTCCCATCCACATCCAGGCTACCATGTCCGAGGAGACCGGCCCCGTCTCCCAGATCTCTGATGGTCAGCCCCAGGCTACCTCTGCCGGAGCTGTCACTCAGATCTCCGACGGTCAACCCCAGGCTTCCACCCCCGGCGCCGTTGTCACCCAGATTTCTGACGGCCAGCCCCAGGCTTCTTCGCCTGCTGTCGTTACTCAAATCTCCGACGGCCAGCCTCAGGCATCTGCCCCTGTCGTCACCCAGATCTCTGATGGCCAGCCCCAGGCTTCTGCCCCCGTCGTTACTCAGATCTCCGACGGCCAGCCCCAGGCTTCCGCTCCTCTCGTTACCCAGATCTCCGACGGTCAGCCCCAGGCTTCTGCCCCGATCGCCAACTCCACCATGCCTCCCTTCTCAGAGTTCACTGGTGCTGCCTCCACTGGCACTGCCAGCATCGGCGCTCTCGCTGCCGGTTTCCTCGCCCTTTTCTCCTTCTTGTAAGCGAGATCAGCTCTATTCAGCGAGCGCGATGAACATGGGACATGGTCGCTTTGACGATCACATAATGAAGGCTGTAGTGGAGGATGACACGATTTCCTTGCAACGTTCCTTGATGACTGCATGCATCTACGACATCATGTACATAGCTAAAGCATAGGCGGCATGGTGTTTGGATATTTGTTTCTAAGAAGAAGCCACGGACCTAGCTAGTTCAATAGGTAGTCCCGCATCTCCATGCGATGAAAATATTAATACAAACGGATAAAAAAACACAACATTTTCCTCATCTCATCTACCGTGATACCCAGCCCTTCTGCTCCCTCTGACCCCGCAACCCAACCCCTTCACAAATCCTCCGCTTTTCAAGAAATGCCACCCATTACTCAATCCCTTCAAAGCTACTGCGGTAATCCTGGCAAGTCAGTCAGACGACATACATCCTTCGCAGTGCCGCAGAGGCGCATTTCCCTGCTGGTGCATGCTGATCTCTATCCTAGCTGTGTCACGTCACATCACACCGGCGATTGTACGCTTTTCGCTTGCTACTGCATGTAGTCTCCAAAATGCAGTGTCACGCATATGTCTTGACAGGCATCTTGAGCACGTACATAACAGCCGGTGAGGAGGTATATACCCCACGTTCACGTTGCTTAAGCAAGGGCTATGTACCGGTACATTCTCCGAAGTACATGGTACGAAATCATGATGTCAATTGCACATCACACACTTCAATGCAGCTCCTACGATACCACACAGTCCCAAATCACCAAATGGAACAGATACAGCTCAAAGGCACAGTATACATATCTCCAAACAATAAAAGACGACAACAAAGGGAAAAAAAGAAAAACCACGGACAAACGTCGTCAATCCATCCTGCATGCACACACCGTCTCTGCCTCACTATTCCCCCATAACCCCAACCCACCAAGCTACAGCCCACCCTAACCACTTATCCACCCTCAGTCCCTCAGCCAACGTGTCAAACCACCAAAGATTAAGTTGCAGCCCGCGTTATCGATTGACACGCGTGCATGCACTAGAGTCGTTGGGAGGCTTGCGCCGTCTCTAACACTACCAGCAAGCGCATCTAGCAAGCGTGTTATCGAATCCTCTTTAGTTCTTGAGGGATATTAATAGGACGTGAATAGGGCTAGATGGATTAGCTGTGGCGGTGCGTTTTTCTCTTCGGGGTTTCGGCTTTCCGCGGGGACAAAGTTTGGTCGAGGCGGGTTGTTCGACGAACCAGCGGGTTGGGGGTTTACTGTGCCGTGTCAAGGTGGCGAGAACGCCTGGGGAAGGGGCGGTGACCTGCTTTCGACACTGAGAACTCGGTTTCTTGTTATGGACATCGTGAACTGGATTCTTGAAGTGTCTTGCCGTGAGAATGTCTGCGAAATATCGCCTTTAGACATTGAACCAACGCCCAGGATTCCGTATGTAGTCTCGGGAATCGTTTTAACAAAATACGTGCCCAAGCATCGTAAAGTAGGGGTTTGAAGCTTCATCTAGTTAAGGCAGACGGCTTATTGGAACTGTACCTAGGTGATTGTGATTTCGAGATCATGATATCCGCTAACGGATATCGTCATTTCGTTCATCTGAAGCTTCTTTCGCAAAAGGCTCGGATGACGGTGCATCGAAGCGTCAGAGCATCCAGTCAACACTGTTGATTCCTTAGTTTTGCATTCCCAGTTCCGAAATGTGTTTTTG